CCCGTCATCCACTCATCTTCCAGACCACACAAGAAACAAACAACTACAAACTTTGAGCTTCTGAGTCGTGTCAGGTCCTTTGGGTTACGTTATGTACTGGTTTTGATCGTCTTTCAGTGCTATTTCAGTATCATCAGTGGTGGATCTGGATGCTGAAGTGTAGTACACCTTTTCAAAAAATTTAGAATGGAGATAGGTCTATCCTCGTTTGTGACATTTAAACACATAAGAAGTGGAGTGTGTGTGTCTCCTACTGGCTGATAATCAACAATGTTGCTGTATATGAACATGTAGTATCTTCCACCCTAAATATCCTGGGGGGCTGGGGGGAAATGTTCCCCTAGTATCAATTTCTTGCCTGGGTTACTGGGCTTAAGCCTGGGTTGTTTTTGTCTTTTGGAGTGTAATTTTCTTCCTAGTTAGATGCCTGACTGACAACTGTATAAAACAAAAACTTCACACACTACAAGCACAAAGCGCAGACTGTGGGAATTTACCACTGTGCGTAAATCCCCTCTACAGGCTGCAGCCAGACCCTTCTCCTCACTTCCGCACTTGTCGTACTTCCTAGTACGTGCCGTACGTAGTACGCGAACTGCGCGTACTCCGAAGCGTGCGGCCGCTGAATTGGGATACAGCCTCAGATTACTTACTTTTTCCAGCGGCATCATGATCGTTTGTGTCAGCTGTCTCCTCAGGTGTTTCCACTTCCCTCATTAACCTTCTGTGTATTTAAGTCCTCTGTTGGGCCGTCTGTCTTCATGTCAGCTCACAGAGATTTTGCTTCCCACTGTTCGTGTGCATGTTTGGATTGTTTCACACTTATGGTTTTGCATGTTCCTGTGCAGTTTCATAGTTAGTGTTACTTTTTTCCAGTTTAGGTTTTAGTTTAGTGTCAACTTTGTTTCACCTTTACTTATTTTCTATTTTGTCATCAGACCCAAAATAAAGATTCAGTTCTGTCTCTCCTTTGTATGTTTTTGGGTTTGCTCCATAGACACACCGGTGATCCCCTCTGT